AGCAGCTTTAAGCTCTTCAAACGTTTCCTTGATTTCCTGCCTTACTTCTTCTTTACGTGTTGCTATCTGCTCTAGCATCTTCTCTCCATTAGCAATAGCTTCAGTGACTGGAGGAATGACTCCATCACAACTAGCAACACTTTCCTTTAATGCTTTACGCGCTGTGTCACCTTCATCAAGGTAATCATTGTAATTGTGACTTTTATGCTTAACGTTAAGACAAATTTGACAAACCAATCTATTGCAATCGTTGCAATAGTACGTCAGCTTTTGGTCTAAATGTCGTGCACAGTAAACTGCCTCATGCTTAATAGCAGGCAATTCAATAGATTTCTTTGTTTCTAGATTGATCAACTTGTGATTGGCTTCTTTCCTGCTTCGCTTATGACCTTTCTTACAATAATCGCACAGAAACTGGCCACAATCACAGCAATACACAACAGCTGCATCACTGGAATCATCAACATTGCATTTGTCACATGATATTGCTTCCTTGCTACTAATTTTCTTTTTGATCAAGGCCTCTTTTGATTTGTGTTCAAGCCAAAGGTTTTGAGTGAGGCCTTCAATTTTACCATCAGGTAAATTAACGCTAGTGTCACACGTTGGACACTTTAATGAGGTACCAGTACCACCTTGCTTCTCTTTAGCTTTTATTAGACACTTCTTACAGAATGAGTGAAGACAGGGAAGCATGATGGGGTCAGTGTAATACTCTGAACAAACCTCACAAGTCATAGTGATAGCTGGACTTGTGCTTTCTGCCATTGTTGCCTATAAAAATGGAATAATTTTTAGTCAACTAATAATATCTAACTCACTTAAACTGTGATTGCTGCAACTTTCATAGGTAATGGAGGCTTTATACTCTAATATCTATGCTCTGCTTTCGTCTTGTTCATCAGCCCCGCCCTTGTTTGTTGCTAACATTAACACCCCCGCATTTAAAGATTACGGAAGTATTGAACTTTAGAACCTACCGGTCATAGATATTATAATATCTATGCTACCGGTATAGTATACTATAACCACGTGTCAAAATGTTTGAACTTTGAAGGTAAGTTAATTAAGGAAATTGAAAATTATTTATAATTCTTTTAAATTTTAGTCTAATGATGTTAGTCTACAAGAGTGTCAGATGAGTCTCTGATCTAACTAGCTGATAAACTTCAATAGAAGAAATAAAAGGACTGTATCAAATAATTAGCGGGTATGTCATCTCATAGTCTCGCCCCGCCCCTTCGCTTACCTCCGCAGGTAAGCGAAGGGGCGGGGCGAGACTAGTCATCTCAGTAACCATAGTAACACACTCATTAATGAGCTGTTCTTCTAGTGTTAGTGACAAGTGGGTGATGATGTGTAAAGCGTTGTTTCACTTGTTTGTTAGTATGGCTGTAGTTAGGTGGAGTTTTTGGAGTAATATGGAGTTGTTAGCGAAGGAATCATAAATAGACTTCAAAATAGGTAAGGGGACGATGGAAATTAAAGGCTAATTTACTTAATGGCGGATTGCTTTTTCTTTACTTGCGTTGCGACTGGAAGTGCTGTAGATAGACAAAAATGGGGATGTGTGTCAAAATGTCAGAATAGACTCATAAATCTATCTTGGCGTATTGATGCACCCTGCCATTTATGTATACAACACTTCTGGATACTATGCATCATTATGTAAACCAGCCTTAATTATGAATCATACTGTGCAACATTGGTTCTGGAACTAATTTTATTTATATACAAGTACATGTATGCAATTGTTTCTTCTATTCCTTAGGTTAATATATATCAGTAATAATGCCAGTGAAGTACTACTACCAATGACTAGTCACCCAAGTATATACCCTCATTGTATTTGTTAATTATTATAATAGGGACAGATGTGAAGGGATCGACTTCTGTACAATGGGTAATGTGGATGCAGTCAGACTACTGGTGGAGGTGATACTGATTCAGGTTACCATGTGTATTTTCCCTAATCATGTAATGTAATTTTTTTTGAAAAAAGCATTGACTATAGCCTATTATGTTTTCAGAAATTGGCACATTTTAAAAATGCTCAAGACTCAAGCCCGAATCAGCTCAAAATTTCTACAAAGCATAAAGATATTGATAATTTTTATATTAATTATTGTATCAGAAGATGTACATGTAGATGTAATAAAAATAAGGTGATGATTTTAGTGACGAAGTTCTTGTGAAATAAACTATACCAAAAACCTAATAAGAAATTAAACTGACCCAAACAAAGATCAATGCGCATGTACCATATGTATATAATTATGCATCTTTTTTCTTTTACCTTTTATGTCCACTTTCTTCCATTTTTCTCTCTTCCTTTCCCTCTCTCGTCTCTTTCTATATTTCCAATAGTCAGTGTAGTCTGATAATGGATCAGCAGAAATACACAAACTAACTGATCCTTATTCTCTGTCTGGTCTGAAGGAGGAAGGTTGTGTTATGTGGTCACTAGGCACTCATGACAATCATTAGGTCAAGTCTCTTGTATATCATTGACATTATGATGATCAGTACCTGTTGACTGGTGGAGGGCATGGGAATGTCTTTGTGTATAATACTAATTTTTTAGAACAGGTACATGTACATAAGTAAATTTATGTCATTTATGTGTACAGTAGTACTACATGTATATCATACATTTATATTTATGTACTGTGCATATTTCGAGATATTGTTATCTTTGTTGCATAGGTTGCTGGGAGTGATGCTCAGCCCATCAAGAGAAGGATTGATACTACTACTGATGATATTGAGGAGGTCTCTCATTACAGTATTGAGGATATGCTAAACAAAGAGCTGAACAAGACAGGAAATTGGAAGCAGGTGAAGCAAAGAAACAAAAAGTCAGCATAAAATAGTAAAGCATTGCTTACATTGCTTTTGTTTGTCATCCTTATAATTTTAGGTTTGTAGAGATATTATACTGCTACGTAGGATATTCACAAAACATGAGACTGATACAAGAGGAGTTCATGATGGATCCATCAATATCAGAACAACTCCAGAAACAACTTGCAGATAAAGTGAGTGAGAGAGATATAGAATGAGATAAGAATTGTACAATTATGCATGTAATTTTCATATTATATAGTTATACATGTATGTGTAGTTTAATAGATCCTGTTTTGGTTTGTAGTTGCATTTAGTAAGGAGGGAGATGGCTTGGGAGTCTAAGAAGCATTCTGTTACTTTAACGAAACTCCAGAAAAAGTTAGTATAAATACATGTACATGTATTCAGTGGAATTATTGCATTGCAATGCATTTTCTGACACATTGTAAAAGGTTTGAGCCAATTCTGGCTTAATTTTTGACCATTTTTATAAATAAGTCATTTTTTGGAAAAATTCCTGTACTATAGCCTATAATTTTTTCTTCAAAAGTGGCTCGAAAATCACCCACAATTTTCATTACAATTTTGGATATGCATTAATGTCCTTATGCTATGTAGAAAGTTTCAGCAGATTCCAGCTTAATTTTTTTGAGTTATGACCATTATTAAGAATCAGCCATTTTGAAAAAATTCTCTGTACCATAGTTTTTTCCAAAAAATGACTCCAAAATCACTCCAATTTTTATTAATTTTTTTGATACATATTGATGTCCTTGTGCTGTGTAGAAATTTTGAGCCAATTCAGACTTAATTTTTTGAGTTAATACCATTTTAAAATATGCTAAAATCTAAGAAATTCTCTGTACTATTATAGCCCATGGTTTTTCCCAAAAAATGGCTCAAAAATCACCCCCAATTTTTATTACATTTTCTGAAACACATTGATATTCCTACATGTATGCTATGTAGAAAGTTTGAGCCGGTTCCAGCTTAATTTATTCGAGTTATGATCATTTTTGCTAAAAGGTACTCATGTACTGTAAATGTTCAAATAAAAGCCAGGCTTGAATAAAATGCCTGGTACTAATAATCTCCAAGTATAGATATGGATATTGTGCTCAATTTAGGAACCATGGACTTTAGAGTATCCCAAATGGCCTAACTTGTTAAGCTGAGTGCAATTATCGTAGAATCCCGAGTTCAATTAAACCCCAGTTTTAATTTCTTTATTTTATTTTAAGCAATTTTAAAGAAATAAATGCCCGGGCTTTTATTTGAACATTGTACATGTACATCCATTTTCTGAAAGATTGACATCACTCCCAATATACAGTGTACATGTACAATTGTAGTACATGGTTTTTGGCCAATTTTTATTAATTATGTGAATTCTGCATTGTAATGTACATGTACAGTACATATATTTGTATTTATGTTTTACAAATGTACATGTACAACCTTCTCTTCATGTACTCTCACAGGTATAATACATGTACGCTTAATTGTCATTTTACTACATGTATACAGATACAAAGATACATTGGACTGGTACATGTACATGTATGGACAGTAAGAGGAGGCTATTGTGTCAGTACGTTTTGTTGTGTTCCTCCTTAATCTTAATACCTTGAGAAATACTCAGCTCTGATCCACCCACTACCAAACTTTCTACATAGTGCATAACATAAAGACATCAATGTGTCAAAATTTCCCACAAAATTTTGGCATCAGCTTTTTTAGTGGATTAATTATGTCAAGTTACTCAGAAACTGGGACAAAGATCCTGTACAGGGATTTTGGCCGAATTTTGTAAAGAATGAAAAAGAGATTTCTTCTATTTGATAACTTTTTGATACATATACATGTACATATAGTTTTGTTGTGTAGAAACTTTGAACTGTTTCTAGTCAAATTTGGATCTTTAATGAATTTTGGAAATTGCTCAAATGCCATGCACTGTACTGTAGTGCTTGTCAGCTCTTGAAGCTCATGCTATTTAGCTCACTTAGCCATGTTCTATATGGAAAATCGGCAATGTATCAAAATATTTAACAAAAAATTAGGGGTGATTTTGAAGCCAAATTTTGAATAAAAACCATGGGCTATTGCCAAGAGTAGCCTTTGCTTTTTTCCCCAAAAATTAGCACCTTTTTAAATGCCCATAACTTGAAAATTACGTGCTAAATACCCAAGGCTATAGCTCATGCTTTCTTCTCAGAACTGGCTAAAAATTACTTGTAGTTTTTATTATAATATTTTTCTGATACATATTGATGCCCTTATGCTATCTAGAAAGTTTGAGCTGATTTCGACTTAGATTTTTAAAGTTATGGCCATTTAAAAATACAATGTACTTCTTTGTATTACTCTCCTTGAGCTACATGTACATGTCATCATCAATAATGATAATACCATCTGGAAATTTGTACTATGATTTCAATTTTTCAGGATTAGAAATTGGCAAAAAATTAGATCATGCATACAGTTACATGTATTATGCCACATTTAGTAATACAAAACACAATTATATTTAGTAAAAATTAAGTCACAGCACAATTTCAGAAAACAAAATTTTCACCACATAATTTTCCTGATTTACAGTAATTACTATTATTATTATCCAGTGGTCTACAGTGTCTCTAATGCTATGATCATTGCTGCCATTCATCCACTGGAATACTGTAGAATGTTTAGCTATAACACTCCAGGTAAATGTTTACAATTTTATGATAAAATACCTCCTATTTATTCTTCTCATGTTTAGATGGTCCCTCTCTCCTACAAACCCTGTCCCTGTCTTCATTTCATAAGATCTTAGTCTCTCTTAATTTAATGAAACTCTGTGTCTCCACTAAAACCCACCACATCATTGCTGTCAATTTAACGATTTATTTCATCATGTTCTCCTCACATTATTCTAAAAATTTCAGTCAAAAGTCGACCAAGAGGGTCCCGCCTACCCAGCGGCTCCAGGACCCGCCCATCAGCCAAGAGGATGAGCTAGAGAGATGAAGGTACGGTGGTCTGACAAGACGAGAAAAAGGAACAAAATACGTTGGACCTTTTGTCGGCCATTTTTCCGTTGCTGAGCAATGTAGTAGACTAATGTGAAACATTGATAGGATGAATCTTAATGAGGGGCGTGGCTTGATACTAGGTGAAGTTTCTAAACTACCGAAAGAACACGACAAACCAGTCAAACCAATTTCAGACGACAAGTGGTACATGCCTAGTGGAGATGCGTAGCTTGGTAAAGGAGTGGGCAGAGACTGGGAGGAGTCTAGCAATGTTTGTATTACTAGTATGAGAAAAACTAAACGTTGAATAGAAAACAGGACGACATGTCATCAAGCCCCACCCACTCCAGCACTAGTTACCCCATACAGTGTATACTCCCTCCAGCTGAAGGTCATGTGATCAGTGACTCCGCCCTATTGTACCCCCACTATAATAACGGATTGGTAATAGTGTATTATGATAAGAATGGGAATGGAAAAAATGAGGAATGAAGAACAGGAACCAAAAACTACCAATTTAATTGTAATTTATAAGGTTTCTTAGAGAATTATTCATTAGCCAAGTAAGTCATTAATTATTATTATTATTAATTGATGGGTGTGGTCTTATAATGTCCTTTTTAGTTTGTTGTTTCGGAACTGGTTGATCCTGCCCACTAATGAGGACAAACCAGTTTATCTGGTTTCTGATAGTTCATTATCAGTTTCAGCATTCCTTTTATCACAAGAAGATTTTGTAGCAAAAGTAATAAATTAATTAACTATTATTATTATTATTATTATTATTATTATTAGATGTTAATGTATGGTAGTGCGTCAGTAGCTGAGGAGGTGTGTCACTTGAACCGCTGGGACCAATGTTCCCTCCCTCTCAATGCACTGGAGACTGGACTGGAACTGAGGCAGTTGGACATAGTGTCATTCTTCCTTAGGAACAGAGGTAAAGGATATACTATTTATAGTATTGATAAATAATGCTATTTATAGTAACAATGATACATCTACTACATGTACATGTACATTGTATTATAAGAGCAGTCCTATTCTTTTTGACAAAGTAGTTTGAAGCCATAGATAAGAGTAGGGCATGGGCTAGACTCATTGTGGTAAATGAAATCATAGTATAAATTAGATATCTACCTGTGAGGCATATCATCCTTACCCTCTACCGCTTTTCTCACCTCACAGGTGTCACATACCCTCCAGACAGGTAGTTATCTGGTACATAGTACTGTTTACTATTATACACGTAGTAAGGACTCTATTAATACTACAGTAATTGACTCTATTGATACAGTCTATTGATTTATAGTCAGGCGCACTTTTTGCTTATTTGGTCTTAATAGCAGGGCTTGCTTTCACTTACATACTTAATGTAGTTATCATAGAATTTAAACTAGTCAATCAACTATTTTGATATACAATATTTATTTCTAATGTAACTAGCAATGGGTTTCTCTTCTATTGTATCCAGTGCTGTAGCTAATGATGACCAACTGGGACCTTCTTTCTCTCTCACTTTATCTTCTCCTCTTAACCAGGCAGACATACACTCACGGAAACACTCCACTGGATCTCCTCTATTCTTCTTGTCTATATCCACTAGTCTAGGATCATATAATCCTAACTGTAGACCTAGTCTGTGCCATACAGAACAGGACAAGTGTTGATCTGATGTTAATTCTTTAATGACAATATCAAGATCTTTAATATCTATAAAAATAATAATTAATAATGTGTATATACACTGTACAGTCTACACTCCCACTACTTGACAATTGTGATAGTACCGTATATCCTTAAATAGAAGCCGCATTCAATAAATGCTGGGTAGCAATAGAATTGAACTATAGATGTGCAACACTAGACTAAGAGTGACTCAGTTGTCTAGTGGATTATGCCTGAAGTTCCATAAGTCAAAAGCATGAGGTCACGGGTTTGAACCCTGCTCTGGGCTAAAGTTTTTTATTTTTATCTATTTTTTCGAGGTCTAAATACCATTTTAGGAAATAGCGGACGCCCGGGCTTTTAAGGAAATACGGTACATTTTTAACATACCTAGCTTTATTGTAGTGGCATTTGTGTTGAATACATTAGGCTTTATTCCACTCACTTCCTATACAATAGTAATGATAATACTGTTTATCTGGACATTTCTGGAATAGAATTTCATTACATGTATAATTAATTACATGCCACATTTAATGCTACACGACACAATCATATTACGTAATAATTAAATCACAGCAAAATTTTGAAACACAAAAATTTCTACAGCATCAGTTTTCTGATTTATTGTAGTAGCTGATATTTGTCACTGACAAGGTAGTGGTTTATTGCTGAAAGATGAATTTACAGACGTGTACATTACTAGTAGTAAGTCTGAGTAATTGCATTTATTAGTAGTGAAAGCCACACAATGACAACCGGGCCACAATTATGACAAAGACTGAGTAATTTGATAAGAAATAAAATTACTTTAAGGAATGACCTTTTGATTATTAGTGCTTGTATTAATGTATCAAACAGTTTGTGTGTGTTAATTCTTACCTTAATATCACGTCCTCCTAATAGCGACAGGTTACTAATATCTGATAATGATTCATCAGGTAGGATCTCCTTTAATTCTGTATGTCTAGTACCAGTGGTAACAAGAAATGGTCGTTGTTCAACTACTGCTGAGAGTACAGCTTTTACACTATACACTGTCCTTTCTCTTGGTGTATTCACAGGATAGGCTAGTTCTTTAGGATTAATAACTAACTCTTTTACCTCTAGACTGGGACAGGATTCTTTATAAACACTCATTACCTCTCCTATCACATCTCTTCTTAGAGACACCATATTGTCACTGTAACCTTTCTCACAGGACATCATTACTAGTACACACTGGCTCTCATCCACAATCTCTACCAGTGATCCTACACCATGACCATTAAACCAATAAAGTCCATTCTTCCAAAATGTACAGTAACGATTTAACTTGTCACCTTCTTGAGGTAGAGCCATTTTGTAAGCAAGATGTAATGAGAGGACATGGAAGTATCGAGGAGGAAAGAAATGATGTTTACTAGTACACTGTAGACACCAACCAAACTGGTACAGTTGACTAGTCATCTCATCAGGTCTATCAGTAGACAAAAGACATGGAAAAAACAACAACCTTTCTCCTCTTCTTTCTGTCCCTCCCTCCTCCTCCTCTTCTACTGCTAACTGATGGAGGTTTGTCATTCTTAGGAAAGATGGATTCATTTGTTGACAGAGTTCCATGTTCTTGAGGAAACAGATCAAAATGTCAGGATCATATTTAGGGAAGAGTCTAGTCAGACCAGACACACTAACAATACCAGTATTGCTAGCAATGTCAACATGTTCTTTGAATGTCTCAGGAGCAAAGAGAATCCCATTCACCTCAGTTAGCAGTATACCCTTATTCACAACAACCCATACCTTGTCTTGACTTTTAAGAACACTGATCAAACCAGTTGAGTGCAACGAATGAAGAACATCCAAGACGTCTTCTCTCTTATCTGGTATAAAGTAATCATCATTGTTCTTACCAGCAGACATTACATCAGAGAGGGTGAGTATATTCTCTTTCCTTTCCTCCAGTAGACCATACATCATGTGACAATAAAGACTCAAGTTCCTTCCACTTGTACTACGAATGGACTCACAGGCACTAGACAACTTATTAAAGAAGGAATCCACACCACTCCCACCAAGCTTACGACAATCTAAGAAGACACTATCACACCTTTCCTTTACAATAATCTCCTGTATTTCTTCCTTTCTCCTTCTCCTTTCAACAGGATTACTTATCTCATCCACATGACCGACTATTACAATAACATGGCATTGACTAAGAGCTTTCTGTGCTTCATTTCTGACAACTGTTAGCCACTGATGAAGCTGTTTGACTGGTTCCTTCTCCAATATATTGACTACTATCAGGAACACACCACCAGAACCTTGTAAGAGATTCTCAATGACAGCACTGTGACTGGAGTAGTATTCGGAATGACCAGCAAAATCATGAAGAATGATGTTACCGAGTGTCCTGTGTTGTAGTTTATAAGGAATGATACCAGCAGTACAGGGCACTACCCCTCCAACATTTCTAAAGGAACCAAGAACAATAGAACCAGTAGCTGTGTGATTGATGACATGACTAAGAGTACTTTTACCAGCTCCAGAATTACCCACAAGGAGAACGTTAACATAAGAATCAATTGGATGAGATGATTTTATGCCACCAAACTTCTTAAAGATAGATAGAGTATCAGTGTGATTATTCTGCTTTGCTAATTTAAGTGGTGTGTCCCCCTTATTGTCTTTAGCCAATGGATCACATTTACCTGTTGATAATAAATATTCAACAACTGCAAAATTACCCCAACGAGCAGTAGCCCAGTGAAGAGATGTCCTCCCCCACCTGTCAACAGTCATTGGATCACATTGACACTCATCAATGAGATATCTCATCACATCAACATGATTACCTTCTGCAGCCCAATGAAGACAAGTCCGATCCATACCATCTCTTTCCTGTGGGTCACAGTGATATTTAGTGATGAGATCTTTTGTAACATCTAACCAGCCATGCCTTGAAGACAAATGAAGTAAATTAGCATTATCCCATTCTCTTTTAATTTTATTTGGTTCCTTCACTAATGGTAGTAAACGAACAGCTTCTTCATGATCTCTATTTCTAATAGCATCCCAACACTTGCTCTCTAAGAACATTTTATGATCAGTTAATTAGATTCATTGCTACCAGCCCACATATCTGGAATCCTTAGAAGGTAAGCACACCCACGCATTTCGCAGATGCACTAAATTGAATAGACAACAACCACGTATGTGTGTACACAACTGACTTGAAAAGAGGTGTAACACTATGCACATGCAATAATAAATTAGATGACAATAATAGCAGCAAAAAATAATACCATTTTTGTCAGTGAATAAAATAAATAAAACAATTGATTAACTCATAAAACAACTCCATGTAATAATACAACAGAAGAACATGACAAACAATGAGAGGAGCAGGTACAGTACAGCTGGTTGTTGTTATGATTTTCTCATGTATGTCTTTGGAAATATACCAATTTTATCCTGGCATACACCATGATACCAGTTATTATCAACTGAGAGAGTATTAAACTATTTTCAATAAACATAATGAAAATTATTTAGACAATTTTTTTCTTGTGGTTTGTAATTTTAAAATACTTGAATCATAAAGATATAATCTGCCCTTTGCTTTATTCTTCATGTTATTTATGCTGGGCCAATGACTATTATATCAAACTCCTAATATACCACCAAATAGAATCACCCAATATTAAGCACCTCCAAAATTACTTATCAAACAGTGATACAGCAATACTTGTTAGTATAGACTCATGTACAACTGCTGGAATGCTGCTATTCAGTTAGTACAATTATGGGGAATACCGTCTACTTAAGTTATTTCAATAGTAAGTTTCAATAGTAATTTCAGTCACCAATAGCAACCACTTCTTTACCAGTTGATGTACCACCAGTTGATGTACCACCAGTTGGTGAAGTAGATCTCCATCATCCCAACACTTTTCCTCTCATTTTTGAGAGCTCACATCAGGAAATGCACTTTGCAAATATACTACAATTATTATTAACTGGGAGAGAGAAAAAAATAAAAATCAATCACCAAATGTTACTAGTGCTGCTCAGAAAACAATGGCATTCATTAAACAATGATTATGATTAATATTAGCCAGTATACCGTATAGCTTGAAATTTTTGTAGGTCGATATTTTTGTGGTTTGCTCCTAGTAGGGCAATTTGTGGTTTAATTTTCGTGGCTGACAGTTTACATAGCCTGTAAGGGGATGGCACTTCAATGATTTCGTAGGTTTAAATTTTGTGGGCAGCCCCATAACCACGAAAACCACGAAATTTACATTCCACGAAAATTTCAAGCTATATGGTATCTAGAAATGTCTGTGGCCTCTAATTTTGCAAATTTGAAAAACTACAGCAATTTAATTCTCAAAAATTTGGTACACAAATTAATAAATTAAAAGACTTTGTGAATTTTTAAAAGCCATTTTTATGCACAAAAATTTTGAGCCACATTTCATAGAAATTCTAGCAATAAGGTATGTTTTACAAAAACCTGATTTCAAACACTCAAACTTTCAAAAGAAGTGGCTATAAAATCACCTCCCAGTTTACATTACACGTGTCAGCATCCTTTTTTCAATTGATAGTTTGAACTGACGCACTTGTATTTGTAAGTAGTACATGTTGTAACTCTATGGTACTATTTATAGATGATAGCTATTGAAAGATCACTATGAAGTACTTCTATTTGTATTTATGTAAATGTATGTCTGGACATGGCTTGAGGGTGTAGCCCTTTAATGTTTTACATAATGTGTAAAAAAGACTATCTTTTTTATAAACTCAATCAGTTTCCCTTGGATCCCTTCCCTCCTGTCTCTAATATATTTGTACTTTATATATTCTTACTCTTCAAATCACTAGCTATAAGTACCTCCCTCAGCTCCTCCTCTTCCGTTCCTCCTCCTCCCCTCCTCTGATAACCTACACTACTGTACAGTCTCAAGCTTCTTCCAACAGATCTCTAGTGGTACATGTAACAATGAGTAATGGGACAAAGGAAGTAACACCTGCAGACATTGCACATCCATAGACGATATATGAACATTTACACGATTTTTTATGATAAAATAAATACAAGTACATACATGATTCTGTTTTGTAAGTAGAAGAATAAAATCATGTATTTAATTAAGCCATGCCTTAATTGAATTTGGTGTGGCCAAGTAACACATATGCTCAAGGACGTCATCTATTGATTCTCTCTTCCATCCACTTCTAGCAGTAATCTGACAGTAGCAGTTTTTCCAAACTGGAAAAACTCATTTTTCTTAAATAATACTTAATAATACTCATTTACTGTACTATGAGTGCGTTTTATGCGAACATATAAATAACTATTAAGTGTTTTTGTCCTCTCTTCTTTATTTCAATACATGATAGTAGATGATTTTGTTAGTAAAATACATGAATTAAGTTTTCTGAATTAGAGAATATTTTTCACATTAGTACAAGTAAATACAAGTACTTTATTTTAAAAATAGAAGTAAATACAAGTAAATGAACTATTAAGTAGATGTGCAATGTCTGAACATCTGTTTAAAGGGACTTAGTGTTCACATTTCATTTGAGGCTTTTGTGTGTTTTAATTTTTTGTTTTAATCTTTTGTGGTGATTTGGCCTTTTGACCCATGTTTTAAAAGTTTAACCAAATTGAACTCCAGTGTCAATGTAACATTAGGACTAGTACAATATTATAGATCCGTCTTTATTTAACACAAAATGGATGTAAGGTCAAACCGTATTCACAATTAGTAGATAAAACCAATGACTATTAGCTAATGTGCAACCAAGACATTACACTTGTACTAATTTTAGCATTTAATTAACGCATTGCTGATACAATTGATAATGTTATTAATTTGTGTCACTTTAATTTAGTGTTGTATTATGATGTATATATGTTGTTGAAATACCCTGTACTATAGTGCAAGTCTTTATGCTACTTTTTGAGCTTTTTTAACGATTTGACAGTCCATGACAAGAAGCATGAACACGTGTCCACCAATGCGAGTTGCCCACCAGTTAACATGATATGTATACATGTATACTAAATACAGGCATAATGTGCTACTAAATTGCACGAATTATAAATTGAGAATTTACCACTTTTATAATTTTTCTGATGCAAATACATGTTCTTGTGTTGTGTATCAACTTTGGGTTATTCCAATGGAACTTGGATTTTATATTTTTTGAAGAGTTTTAAAGTTGCTTAAACTTGGGCCAATGACCAAAACTTATAGCCTTAGTCATCTTCATTGTTCTAAAGCCTATACATGTTCTTATGTTGTGTAGAAGGTTGAACTCATTCCAATCATTTTTGAAGTTGAATCTTGGGCCTGTCAGCTCATAAAAAATGCTTACCAGCTCCAGCTCACCATGCTTTGTGGTGGTAATTTGCGGCTTTAATTTAGGCTGAATTTTGTGGGCTTTAATTCTATGGCATGTCCTTAAGTGTTGAAAATTTTATTTTATCAGAAATAAGTGCTCAAACTTTGTGGTTACTTGCTTTTATCTTTGTAATTCATCTAATGAATTTTTTTGAAAACTGATTAAAGTAGCCAAAAGTTATACAGAATGCATTGTACATGCAGCTTTAATAGATTTGTATTTTTATTGGTATTTTATTAAATTTTACACAGGACTAATATGCTATATCATGTCATTAAAAAGGGGGAAAGAAAGATACTTCAAACTTATTCGTGAAGCAAATCCTACAATGCTGACTTTGTGGTTAGTGAATAAAAATAATTTATTATCATTATTACACTCTAGGTATTTTTCTAATCTTGGTCTTCCATTACCAGTTCAGAAAGCAGCTAGCTTCCTTGCACTTGCAGAAAGCTGTTGAGCTTGACCTTGCTCCAGGGTATCAATCATGTTCAAGCTCATTCCATCATTTGTTATTGGTGAGGTGATGGCAAGGAATATTTCATGCATGTAAGTCAAGCTTAAGTCGTTTTTTGTCGCCTTGCTCCTCAAAATGATTTTATAAAGTAAACTTAGCATTGTAGCAGCTGATGTTTTATTATCAAAAATTGTACTGTAGATTATTCCAAAAAGGCAAGGAGGGTAGGATTGCAATGGAATGTGCTAAATCAAGAAGAATAGTTTGAAAGATTACTTGACACTCAGGTTTGTTTTAGATGAAATTATTTGTCATATGAATAAAAATACTTCCGTCTTTCGAGCATAATTTATTATTTATTTTTGTAGATACCAACAAGGCTTTACTCAATCTTAATTCATCAAGGCTTGCAGACTCTAATTTGAAATTTGGATTGAAAGTTATTTTATTTTTAAGCATAATATTTTTTACTTTTTTGGCAAAAAATATAATTTTTACCACAAAATAATTGTTTTGTATCAAGCATCAGGGGCGTGGCATGGGCGTGGTTGACCTTGCCTTTTAACCACGTGGAGTCATGAGTGGTACGGTAATGATGAGTTGACAGTTTCCTCACCTTGCCCTTCCTTCTCTCTTTTTATACTAATATTCTGGGCCTATGGTCTGACTAATAACCTTTACTTGCTCCAAGTAGGTACAAGATCCCTCATTAATACAGTCCATCACTTTGTTTATCCCTTGGTTTATACAGTATCCATTTCAACCTGCCCACATGCTGTATGATGGCAGAGACTAAAATGAGAGGAGAGCATTTGGAGATGAGAATCAGCTTCGGAATCAGCTTAAGGACTAGAGCATCATTACTCACAGTCACAGAGTAAGGAAATGTAAATAAAGTACATGTACATGAATATCAGAATATGTAATAGTAATGCAGGATTCCTTTAATTTACGTTTTGACAAAATACCATGTACTATTTTGTGTGATTTTGGAGCAAATTTCCAATTTGCTTTTTAAAAAATATAACTTAAAAATTATTTGTCAGATTCAACTTAAACTTTCTGTATAGCATAAAAAACATTAACGTGTATTAAAAATGTAATAAAAATTATGGTAATTTTGGATTTAATTATCAGAAAAAAACACTTGAAAATTAACTTTTTTAAAAAAATGCTCATAACTCAAAAATTGTTTGTTAATAACTTTTTACATAGTACATAACATAAAGACATCAATTTGTCAGAATACCCCACAAATTTTGGCATTGGCTTCTTTTAGTGCATGGATTAATTGTCAAGTTGCTCAAAACTGGGCCAAAGACCCTGTACTGGGATTTTGGCCAAATTTTGTCAAAAATAAAAACAGAGAATTCTTTATGCATTTTAATAACTTTTTTGATACATATACATGTAATTATGTTGTGTAGAAAGTTTGAACTGATTCTAGTCAAAATTTCATTTTTAATGAATTTTTTGAAATTGCTCAAATGCCATGTACTGTATTGTAGCACGTGTCAGTTCATGAAGCTCATGCTGTTTAGCTCACTTAGCATGCTCTATGGGGAAATCAGCAATGTATCAAAATATTTAATAAAAAAACTAGAGGTGATTTTGAAGCCAAATTTTTGAAAAAAACTCTGGGCTATAGCTAAGAGTAGCCTTTGCTTTTTTTTTAAAGTTAGCTCTTTTTTAAATTCCCGTAACTCAAAAATTATATGTCAAATACCCAAGGCTATAGCCCATGCTTTTTTCTGAAAACCAGCTAAAAATCATGCCTAGTTTTTATTATATTTTCTAATACTTATTGATACATATTGACGTTCTTATGCTCCATAGAAAGTGTGAGTGATTCCAACTTAATTTTTTCAAGTTACAACCATTAAAAATATAGGCCAAAATCTAAAACTTACCCATGCTTTTGTCCAAAAATGGCCAAAAATGACCCCCCTTCCCCATTTTTATTACATTTTCTGATACATATTGATGTCCTTATGCTGTGTAGAAAGTTGGAGCTGCTTTCAACTTAAATTTTTAAAGTTATGGTCATTAAAAATTGTTTTCTATTACTCTCCTTGAGTTACAGGTACATGTAATAGCTGGCGGCCATTTTGAAAAATTAATTAATTAATAATAATTAAAATGCTAATGCTAATAATTTTAATTTTAATTCCAGTTGTATTTGGGTGAATAAAACCGTTACTTCAAATTACGATGCTAACTCGTCCCACGAGAGTTTCCTTCTTGGGGTAACGTCTTATCGTGACCTCCACCTGTTCTCAGTCCAGCATCAAGCAACATTCCAAGATGGAGGACAAGAAGAGGAGGAGGAGGGAGAGGGAGAGTGTCAGAGAACTGGTTCTGTTGTTTTACTTGTCACTATAAACAGATCTGTTCTATGAGCAAGAGACAGATAACGTCAATACTGTCAAAAGCACAACTTGGTAAGTTATTGAAGTGTCTCCAAAATTTGACCAAAGTCTCTGTACTATAGTACATGGTAATGGGCCGAATTTTCCCAAAAATGAAAAATAAAAAATTCACAATTTTTATTGCATTTTCTAATGCATATACATGTACTTATGTTGCGTAGAAATTTTTAGCTGATTGCAATCAAATTTGGATTTTTTATGAATTTTTAAAGTTGCTCCAAAATCGGACAAAAGTCCCTGTACTAAACATAAAAAATTAAAAAAAACAAGACTGAGTAGGATTCCGAACGACCAACGAAAATACAAAATGAAAATCCTACTCTCGTGATGCAAATTCTACTCTA